AAAACATTCTTTTCACCTTTACTGTGAAAAACTACTTCAATATCAGATTTAAACTGTTGTTAGTCCATTTTTCAGTATATATTTCGATTTAAACAACAAAATTTGAAATTTTGACCGGCGCACTGTGGGCCAGAAATTCCCTAATTTTTAGTAATGATGGAGCACTAAGTTTTCTTATGCTAAAAACGGTCAAGTAGGCCATTAAGCATACAAAAACACCAGAAATATGTCTGTGAGTTTTGGTTTGACAAATGTAGGTAAATTTAATACTTATTGTCTGGTATATTTTGTTTAAAAAAATCGCTTAAGTTTAAGACATTACAGTTAAAGGTGGATTAACTTTTTGACATATACTATGAGTGAGCCAGATGCAGGCAAGTTCAAGGTTTTATACAATTTAAATTTTATGGATTTCTTTGCGAAGTTCTGAAAAAAACATTTAGTGATATTTTACCAGAGATATATCAAGATCTACACTAAACTAAACTTTTGTTGATGCTCTTAAACTCTCCAGTACTCAAGCTTTATTATCGACTATTTCCCTCGTCTTAATTTCCACCAATCACAAACGCGCAATTTTGAATTACAAATGGTTTCTAGGTGAAAAAACTGTGTGACAGCACCTGTCAGCAGTTTTTTCGAGTTTACCCGCGGCAAAACTTGACAGCTGTTGTCCTGTGAAAAAAATCGAAAATACACAATGCTAAGTAATATTTTTCGTGCAGGTGCAAAAATCCTCGTCTTCGACTCGGATTTTCGTTGCCACCAGCACTCATGCTTCTTGTTAAAATATTACTTACCAACGTGATTTTTTCGATTTTTTTCTGAAAAATTAAATGCCCTTATGATATTACTTACGAAAAAAAACTTTTGCCGAATTTTGTCTATCCAGGAGAAAACGCAAGATTTTCTGTGTGTTCTTTTGCAATTTGATTCAAAATGAAGCTCTATTCGGGTATTAGTTGAAAGGTTATTAGGCCTAAATTGTATAAAAGTTTTTAAATTTTTGATTGTCATTTTTCAAGTTTTGACGTATTTTCAAAATGTCATATTTAAAGGCAATTTAGTTGATATTTTTTTAAATATAAAATATATGTACAAACCTATATAAACTATTAAAGAATATTTTATTAGAAATAAAAAATATAGGTATTCATTAATTTTGCCCACAGGCACAGAAATTATTGCAGCCAGCTGCAAAAAATGATTGTTTTGACAGCGATAGTGATTCAGACTAAGAATGTTGGGCAACCATAGCTATATTTTCCCTTTTTGTTTACTTAAATGATTTTTTCTGTTATTGCAGTTCTATAGATGTTATTAAAGATTATTTAAAGTATAGCCTTTTAAATAATTTTTTCGTATAACTCAGCTTTTTCAACCTTCGTCTTTGTTTCGAGTACCTGCATATTTTTTTGCGGCCATAAGATGTCTGATTTTTTAAAAACAGTTGACAGCCATTCCACGCTACTCGGCAATTTTTGTAGCGTCCGTTAAAATCAAAAATTGTGAGTAAAAGCTACCGTAATTAAATTAAATACTGTTACTGTAACCAGAGCTGTCAAAGATACTTTTAAAAAGTATCTAGATACAAGATAAGTTACTTTTTGAAAAAGTATCCGAAGTTACTTTGGGTATCTAGTTACTCTTTAAAAAAAGGAACTTAAATACTTATCTTAAGTTACTTTTTACTTACTTACTGTTACTTAATAAGATACTTTTTTAGTTACTTTGTATATTATGTAATAAGTTTCGTATAAACCGCCCAACAAAAATTCGTTCCAACCCCACCCTGATTTTTCAAATAATTTTAAGCTTACTTTTTTAACAATTTTTTTCAATAAAATCTAGTTGATTAAAACCATTGAAGGGTCTAATGCAAAAAGTGTCTAACTTAGGCACTTTTAAAATATCTTAAAAATAAAAAGAGATAAAATCGTTAATTAAACACCACTTAATTATAAAAATAAAAAAATTATCTCACACTTTTCATTTAATCTTTTTTAACATTTTTTTTAAATTTAAAATGGAAAACATACATTGAACATCATAAAGAAGCAAGTGCAAGTACTTACCTAACCTTATTTCAGACTTACCACTATAAATTCAAGTCGCAACGAACGGAAACACCCTTCTACAGAGCGGGTGGCGAAGTCACAGATTATAAAAGAAGTATAGGTGAATAAAAATTAAGTAGGTATAACAAAAATCGCCGCCAGTCGATTGGCGCCAGTATACTTATTATAATAACTTCGATGGCCGCGGCCGTTTCGAACAACTTGACTAAAGGAACTTTTCTTGTGGTATCTTAGATACTTTTTGGTATCTAAGTTACTTTTTGGTATCTAAGATACTAGATACTTTTTGTTAAAAAAATAAAGGAACTAAGATACAGTAACTTATATACTTTAAAGTAACTAAGTTACTCTAAAGTAACTATAGTATAAGATACTTTTTTCTGACAGCTCTGACTGTAACAATAGTTAATATTGCACACATGTTTATTATGCTTGTAATAATTGGGCTTAAACTTATAAGCATAATAATTAATGTAGTTTTACTCACAATTTTTTATTCTAACGGACGCTACAAAAATTCCCGAGTAGCGTGGAATGGTTGTTGAAAAATAAATATTATATAGAGATATATAGGGTCTTAAAGTTATATTTGTGCAGAGTTGGTAGTACTGAGTATTTTTTTTAATGGATTATGCTATTATTACTAATTATTACTTGATTTTATAATTATAATGAGAGAAAAATATTGAGTTCTTTTTATTTTTACTTTACCAATTTGATAATTACAATTTTTTTTTTATTTTGTAATTATAATCAGAGAAAATATCAAGTACTTTTTATTTTAACTTAAAATGTTTACTGATTCTAAATATTTTTTTATTTATAATTAAAAAATAATAAAGAACAGAATACATTTTTTTTATTTGATTAGAATGGTGAATAAGGATACTTCCGTGCTTGTTTATGTTTTTATTGCGACTAGTTTCGATCTATATTAGATCATCTTCAGGCAAACTACAAAAATATGTAAAATTATTATAAGGTTATGTTAACATGATAATGATAAAATTAACGATGTGGCTCCCGTCCCGAGGCGGGACTTAAGTTCAGTCCCGATTGACGTCACACACTGTAAATCGGTTTTTATTCCCCGAGATTCTATAATTTGTGTCAAGCTCGATAGCTTAGATGGTAGGGCGGTCGCTTGGCATGAGAGAGGTACCGGGTTCGATCCCACTAGAAGGTGTCGAACTTTTTTTATTTTTTTTATTTTATAAATTTGTTGTTTCTTTGTTAAAAAGTGTTTTATTTTTATCGTAACATAAATTTCCCCATTTTAGTTGGGTTTTTTGCTCAATGGGGCGGGGGGGCCCAATGGGGCGGGGTCGGTTGGGTTGTGTTGTTGAGTTTGGGTTGGTTTGGTTTTATGACGTAACTAAAGTGCCCTTAACATGTATACAGGTACAATTTATTATTATTATTTTATTATAACATAACAAATCTTAAAATTATGACGTCAATCGGGACTGAACTTAAGTCCCGCCTCGGGACGGGAGCCACAGCGTAAAATTAATAGTTTAAAGTAACAATACAATGGTTGATAACAAATATTAAATACTTACATGTCAATAATTAAAATATTTGTAAAAAGGTTTATCAATTATATTAAATATATGCATAAAGATAGTTTTAGATTCTGATTAAAATTATTTACAATATACAATGACTTGAAGGACGATGTATTCTTGGTACTTATATTTTCATTTATATTTTAAGTACAATCAATTTTTTACTTTGACTTTAAACTTTTTGCATTACGAAGTAGGTACTAAAAAATATTATTTATTCAAATTAATAAGTACTATTATTTTTGTATTTTTACTTTAAATCAATTTAGAGTAAAAAATACAATGTATTGATAATTTTTATTTTCTCCATTCTCAAGTAACTTAAATATTCTAATGGCAATACTTTTTAAATACAAATCTCGCAACTCTGTATTTGTGACATTATTTCCATTTTAACATCCTATATCTTCTATTACAAAACACAAGATCTTCAATAAATTTTAAAATTTCGCCCTGGTCGGTAAAGTTTGCAAAATAGCAAAATATTGTTAAATTTAACTCTGGTTCCACAATCTTTAACCATGGTCCCACAATCTTTCGTTGTCTGGGCAGCTGTTTATAAGTGAAATTAACTTATTTTTCTTTGTTTTTGATTATTACACTATGAAATTTGATTTGTTGAATTTAATATTTTTCAATGTTTTACAATATCCTGGCCCACAGTTCGGGGCGATTCCCAAGTTGGAAATTTTTACGTGAGTTACTCTATTTTTTTTTATAGAAGTCGCTCTATACAAATATTTAATTTAAATCATTTTTAAGTTAAAAGTATTTCTCGTAGAAAAAGTATGCAACCCAGGTAGCACAACGTGACGAAACCGTGACGATTTGTGTCCATTGTGTCTAATTGGACACAAATCGTCACGGTTTCGTCACATTGTGCTACCTGGGAACTCGTTTAAAAACTTTTCCAGGCACCCATTTAATTAAACATAATAAACTATTATTTATGTTATTAACTATTTTTTACGTTACTATGTACCTTTTTTATGTAAGTTTTAAACAGTTTTCAGTGAAGGTAAAATTTCATGAAAAGGTTTCATTTTCATGATTTTCTAAAAAAAAATCGTCATAAACACTTTTTAATTGTTTATATATTTTACTTATATTTCAGAATCATTGAGTACTACCAAAACCAATAATTATTTTCTGTAATTCATTAAGTCGGAAAAAAGTGATCCGTTCACGAATTCTAACCCAGATGTCAATATGACAGGTTATAGATGACTATTATCTATTGCATGCGTCCCACGTTTTTCATTTTAAATCTTACAATTATTTTATACTTTTTAGTGCATTAAAATTTCTCTTGGTTTTTTTATATATATTTATTTATTTTTGAAATATTTTTTAGTTACAAAAAACACCGTTCAGTCTTTATGTTGGTATCGATAATCACAGTAACCTTTTGACCCCTCTGGTGGCAATGGTTCTTGGTTGGACAACTGGCGACATCTCTGGAGAGGGAAACATAAATTGTACAAATATCCCAAAAAGTTATGTAAGTTGTACATCTGTCTATTTTTTACTCTGTAATTTTTAAAATTATTTTTGTTTTATTTTTAGTCGCATAAATTTTACAATATGTCGGAAAGTATATACGATTTAAATTCTACAAAGTGTTTTAAAGTTACTTTAAACCAAACGGAAGCAATTAGTCCAGCTTTTATTATTGATGGTAAGTGTCAAAAAAATCCTTAGATGACCAATAAATGAAAATTCAGTCAAATCCCAACTGCTAATTTCAATTTTAAGAGTTTCCTCGTAGAGTTAAAAAAAATTATTGAAATAACTTTTTTATTATTATTTCTTCCTGAATTTTTTTGTAACTAAGTTATGGCAGATTAAAATTTAGCACGTTTTTAACAGAAATTTATAGTTTTCATTTATTGTACTTAACAGATGCTAAAACGGGATTAAAACAAAATTCAAACAAACCAAAAATGTCAGATGTCGAAATTACTTTAACTTATACGCATGCTTAATTTGCTACTAATTTTGCTGCATAAATACCCTCCTATAATGTTAAATTAATATTAATGTTAATGTTAAAGTTAATCTTAATGTTAATTTGTGCTGCATAAATCCACCATTAGTAACGAGCTGAAGTTAGCTTTGTTATAAATTAAGGAAAAGTGAGGTTAATCCGTTAAAAGTTGACAGATGTCAAATGTTTAAAAAATTAAATGGCTTTAAATTCTTTTTTGTGTAAGTTGTAGATAAAGTATAGTATGCAACTTGTTTTATAAACTTCTCCAGACACTCGTTTTTATTAAACACTCGCTTGCAAGCTTTGCTCGTGCCTAATAAATTTCGTAACTATTTTGGTTTATATTTTAAATGTCTCGATAGGTACAACTTTTAAATAATGAAAAATGTATTGACTTATTTGATCTTAATAATTTTATAAATGATATATTTAGGATTTATACAATTTTGCCCAAATAAATTAACTTAAGATATTATTTTAATTAAAAAATTATAGAAATTTTTGCAAAAGTTGATTGAAAATAATATTGTTTAATAAAGAAGTGAAGTGAAGAAGTGAAAAATATTTTAAATTTATAAATGTAAACCTCAAATTTTTAGTTAAGAACACTTTATAGAATAAAGTGTTCTTAACTAAAAATTTGAGGTTTACATTTAAAATTTTATTGGTATAAAGTTTATACCAATAAAATTTTAAATTAAAAAATTATTGAATAAATGTTAAAACGCCGTGCCATACTAAGTGACGATCCTAGAAACATTGAATTTTTTTTTAAATTTCGAAATTTTAAGGTCTAAAAACTAAACCATTTAAAAGTTTAATAGAAATTTTGTAGTACATTTCCTACAATATTGTTTTTAACAACTTTTTGTATAATCACCTTCATTTGGCGTTATAACAGTGACTGTCCACGTGGGTTCATTAGCTGCAAATTAAAATAATGAGTGCAGTAAAAGTAATAATATCAGTGTAAAAATGATCCTAACAAATTCTGTTACATCTGTGGAGTACATTGTAGTGATTCCGCGTAAATGGACATTCTACTTAGTAGCTAATACACACGTGATTTTTATAACGCTAAATAAGGAGCGATCAAATAAAACGCAATAAATCCACTTTCAGTGACTTTAAAAAGTAGGTGGGAAATTAGTTTTTTTAGCAGTTTTCGATAAAAATAAAATTCTAAAATAAATCACAACAAAATTTAATCCGCAGGGGGTAGGACCTCGCAAAGTGGGATAAAACTGTTATGAGCCCCAAAAGATTCTTGCAAAGGATTTTTTCAGAAAACAGCCTTTTTTTCTGACAGATTTACTGTACTATACAGGGTGTCCCAGAAGTCGCGTAATACCTTGATCTACTTCCAGGAATCCCAGAAAATTGTTCTAATTATTCTACTTTCATAATTTAAAAAGATATGAGAGCGTAAACATTGAGCTTTCGTCGGCGTTTTAAGAGAACTCAAATATAAAAATGGTTGATTTTAGGGTTATGTTTGTGCAAAAATTATTTTTTACTAATTTCTTAAATATAAATTATATTAGGTAAAGTTATCATTAGTTAATTCTGCACCAACAAATGTACTTACCGAATTTGATCCTTTGGCAAAACATGAAAATGCAACGATTTAGTTCTTGAATTTTATTTACAATTAAAAACACAATAATTCACCATGATCCCTTAAATAAAATACACACACTAACGTAACTATATAAGCATTTAAGCGTTGAGTTTCTTAATCAATGATATAAGGAATAATAAATCGAAATCGAGTACTAAAAATTTTTTTTAATTTTTTCCTTGCAACGTAAAACACAAATAACGTACGCGATTTAGCTGTGCAATTGAACAAAATTTCTTCTGCCTTCCTCTCTTTCGTGAAAAAACTACCTATTTATTTAAAAATGGTGTATAATCTGCGCTTTAAATGTATTGTTGACAATTCTTAAATTCACGCAATGTCATCGAGGTCCACCAGATGGAGCGCGCGTTGCGAAAACCCGATACTTCTTTAGCGTATACATCCCACCACGTGACTTTGATAGAAATAATTAAGGTTAATTTTCTGTCAGTGTCAATCTAATTTCGTCTTTTTTCTAAAAATAATGCAATATATGTATTTTTTGTGTATAAAGGTTTTAATTTGGAACAAAAAACATCATAATATATTATATTGTATTTTTTTTTACAAAATAAGTGAAATCAGCTTGACACGAAAATTAAGTATAAGAGACGTATAACCAGCCCCATTTCCTCTTGACTCTCGAACCCCGTACAGGCCTATGTTTACTTACGCCGATTTTTGTTCTTCCCCAGCAACTGCACGGCTTCACCCGTGTTTGCTGGGTGCGAATGTCCATTGCGTTCCGTACTGTCCCCTATTTGGGGCTCGAGAGCGAGAGGCGAATAGTTTTAAAAGCCATTCTCGGGTTCGCCGAGCCTATGCTATACGCTCGGTGGGGTCTTTCCCGCCCTGTTCATGGTAAATTTCGATTGCAACGCTGAACTTCAGCGGCTGAATACGTCTGAGGCGGCTAGTATTGTTTCCAGACCGGCCCAGAAGCCATATTTACCGTGGTCGTTTAGGTACGCATTGATTTGTCCTGTTTTGTCGCTTATTTGTTCATAGCGACTGCTTAATTCATTTATTGCGTCCTCGATGTAGGGTCTGTACGTTCCGAGATTATTACGTAAGTGGTTGTTTAATATTTGTCTAGTGTCTGCTGTTGAACAGCTGGTGAGCAATCGCTGCGATTAGGGGGGATATTTTTTTTACTTTTAGTTTAAAGTCTAATGTGTTTACAATTCCATGGAGTTTGATTAGAGTGCTTTTTTATTTTGTTTATGTTTTCTTAGTTTATGAGTGTTATTTATGTCTTAAGTGTCAAATTTATTTGGTCTCGGTTTGTTATATTTGAATTGTTTTGTTGACAGCTTTATTGCCCTGTTCAGCTTTGGTGTATGTCCGCGATCGGCTGTTTGTTTTTTTTTGGATAGTATAGACTTTCTATTGTTTTGTTACCGATGATTATTGTTTTTTTGTAGGGATTAGGCAATGTGCCTTGTTTAGTTTAATTTGCAAATTATGTGTTAGGTCATGCAGATGAGATGAGGATACTTATCAATTATTTGCAGGTGGCTTATTCCTCCCTTGTTTGACCTCCCTGGTTTGGTGAAAATCGTCCTGTTGACCTGGTGCGACCACTCAGATACTGACACTTGTCACTTAACTCTTTCTTGTCACTTAACTTAACTCTTTTGACCGTTTCACTATGTTCGTTTGCACTTGTCACTTCACTCTTCCTTTTCACTTGGCCCTTAACTAATTATTGACCATAGAGTAGTCTGTACTCACTGTATTTGTTACACTATAGTTATTTGCACTATGAGGGATTATTTGTTGGTTATGGTTTTAACGTTTTACGTTTAATCTCTGGCTCCGATGCCAAGCGACTTACTTAGTCAAGCGCTGGGACGAGACTGAGCTTGACACTGACAGAAAATTAACCTTAATTATTTCTATCAAAGTCAGGTGGTGGGACTTTAATGTGTGGAGCATAGTAACTTATTTCGAAGATACCAGGATTTCGAATTTTTATCCCGGGATTTTTGGGATCGGTTTTTCCGGGATTTCGGGATCTAATTATTTTTTGTTTTAGTTATTATCTACAGATTTTTACAATTGTCGTTACTTTCCAAAAATCAATGAAAACTCTTTGAAACATTTTGTTTATCTGGAGAAATTTTTTTCACTCATTCTTTTGAGTCTAAACGTATCTGGACAAAGATCGTCCGTAAACCACATTTCCTAAATCCCCCTTATAAGACGCCATCAGAGTGCGCCCTTGCTTGGTTACGCTACTGATTTGGTCATTTTAATATTGTTTTTTATGTGTCATTATGATTAAGAATTAAACCACCACATTATTAGTAGGAAATTATGACATTTAAAGAAAATATGTTTTTTTTTTAAATAACAATTTAATATTTAATAATTCCTGGGTGTCTGTGGATCATACACCTTAAGGTGGTGCGCGACTTTTGGGACACCCTGTATGTATGACGAGTAAAAAAAATGGTTATTACGGTTTCCAATATAAATTTATTACGTTTTGTTTGATCACTCCTTAAATGAAGATTAACCACAGTACCTTCTCAAAAGTCAACATAAAACAAACTATAATGCAGAAACAAAAAATGTACAAGATATATCTAGAAATCTTGTACATTCTTTTAGACGATTTTATTAAAAAGTTGCTTATTTTATTTGCTATAAGTTTTGCTATAGATCAAGTAGTATTAGTTCATGCTATAGATCACGATTTAACGACCAATTGAAAAAATTCTGGTTCATAGTAAAAATGAAGCTAAATCGACTATAAATAGCTAGTGACCAATATGATGGAAAAATGTTGTATATTAATGATAGTGAATATACTTTCCTTTAATTTAACAAAGATATTTTTAAATAAGTAAAACATTTTTTTTTTCATTATGGAAATTTTAATTCTTAGTCTGTATTTTAAAAACTGCTCTACTTTTATAACTTCTGGGAATTGAATTTTTATTTGTTGATTAGTGTTATCAATATTTTAGTTTTTAGATCTAACTTATTTATTTTTTATTTAGACTATGATTGGTCCTCTGGCCAATACAGCACATGGTCTGAATCTACATGGGACGATATTAGTATGAGGGTGTTTTTAAAACCATCCCCAGCCCATGAAAAATTAACAATTTCCATTGGTTCAATTTCAATGATACTATCATTCGCGATAGTCTATTTTTTTAAGACTAGATCTCATATTTTGTTTATACCGAGTATTCCCAACGAAACGCCAACCGAATGTTAAGTTTTTGGCTCAACGCCCTGTATAATTTAATAATAAACTAAAATTTTAATGACTGATTTTATAAACATTTATTTAAAAAAGACCATTATACAGATATTACAGTCAGTGTTAACACCCTGAATATTATTGCTAAATTTAATTTATTTGTATTAATATAAGTGTGATATTTTGAGTTGATAGCATATGGATAATAAAATTTTTTTTATTTAAAAAAGCATTTTTATTTAATTAACAAAAAAAATATTATGGTCCCCCAGCTTCAGGTGGAAACGCCAACCGAATGTTAAGTTTTTGGCTCAACGCCCTGTATAATTTAATAATAAACTAAAATTTTAATGACTGATTTTATAAACATTTATTTAAAAAAGACCATTATACAGATATTACAGTCAGTGTTAACACCCTGAATATTATTGCTAAATTTAATTTATTTGTATTAATATAAGTGTGATATTTTGAGTTGATAGCATATGGATAATAAATTTTTTTTTATTTAAAAAAGCATTTTTATTTAATTAACAAAAAAAATATTATGGTCCCCCAGCTTCAGGTGGAACGTAGTTTGGATCGTCACTTTTGCACTCAGCCTCAAAATTACTCGGTATAACATTTTTAGTTAATTCAATTAATTTTTCTAGGGGACATACTTTTGTACACCCCGGTATAGTGAGTTCGTATGGGGGTATACTTGTATCATTCCTAAAGAATACCTATATAATAAAAAAAATTTATAGGAATTGGTATTATCATGTGTTACATTTTATATTATACCTGTACCACAAACTCATTTTCTTGATTCTTCGATAATTCCAGCAATACTGCCACCCCATAACCTGGTGTTTGCGGATCAAATATTTTTAAAGCACCCAGTAGATTAGCTATGGTGTAATCGTGCCCCCCGTATAAAAACGCCCTTATTTCCTTGGGTTCAATAGTGCCGTCCATTTTTGCTTTCCAGTCGTTAAGAATTTTTTTCAAAAGCGGACCCCCTTTCAGGCGCCTTAGTTTATCGTTGTAGGATGTAATGACGTAACTAAAGTCGGATAAATATTGCATTTTTTCCGGGAAATAGTCCTTAGTCCATTTAGGCAGTGTTAAATTAAAAGCTTTCTGAAAAAAATACCCCTAAATTAACGAAATTAAGAACGATATTATTTTACCTCTGCTTGTAAAGTCGTATACACATCTTGTACATCATCAAACCTTTTTATTTGTTTCCCAGTCAATTCTTGCAATTCTTTCATCAATTTTTCGTTATCCCTGTATATTTTTTGCACATGTTCAGACTTAGTAACTCTCTCTAACTCTTGGTGATACTGGGCACAAGGCACCCTAACCAAAAGTAACTAAAATAATATTTGTACAACGAAAAATCATCCCAAAAATATATTTACATCATCTTGGTCCAAAGGCTGGCTTGTTACCGGTATAGGTTGCCAATCTAAAGGGCCCCATTGTTGGATCTTCGATGGCGGCCATAAACCGGCATTAGTTAACTCCACGCTAGCTTTCGTTCTGTCGACATCTGTGGATTGGCAGTAATACTGCTCCGGCCAGTAATTTTCCCCCAAAAAATCGTTGTAACGTTTCCGCAAGAATTTGCCTGTGTCGTATTGTAATAATTTTCCCGCCTGTAAAAATGATTGCGTTGATACTGTGATGTGCCATCGATTTGCCGGCAATTTTATTTTTGACATTTCTAATTTTATGAAGATATTCTTATAATTATAACATAACTACAATTATATTCTCCACTAAATTCAATTGGTTAAATATGGATAATACACACTATCTTACCTATACTACTTTTCTTCATAAATTAATACAATCTTCAGCACCTTTATAATAATAATAATAATAATAAACATCTTTATTGGTTTCCCAACAGGCTATCGACCGTGGTCTTTCTGTCCAATTTTACAAAAAAAAATTATAAATATAATAATTGTTAATTGTAGTTACAATATTGAATTTATATAAGAAAAAAAAAAGTAATAAAAACATATAAATCTCCCATAAAGTTTGTGTAGGATATTTCCTTTTGGGGGGCAGGTTATGGTCTCTACCGTGCATTAAGTTTTCCATAATTTGTATGTTGTGGTGTTTTTTTGCAAATTGGCATGCCAGCTCCTTGAAACGTTCCAAAATGGGGGTGACCTGCGTTGTTTCGTATAGCAGTTGATTTGATGGATTATGAAGTGGATTATCTGGGTGTCTCATTTTGGTGATTATTCTTAAACTACTCCGTTCAGCCACTTCTAGCTTACCTACAGTAGTTTTTTTTGCAATTTAGGTAGATTAGGAAGGCATATTCATTAATGGGCCTGCATATCATTTTATAGATTTTAATCGCAGTTTCAGGTTGTATACCGTTATTTTTGTATGTCAGGCTTCTGAAATGTTTGGCTCTTGTAATCATCTTGGTTTTCATTAATTTGGCATGTAAATTGAAATTGAGTTTGCTATCTAAATGTATTCCAAGGTATTTGCATGAATTAGATGGTCGTATTTGTTGATTAAAAATTTTTATAGAGGGGGAATTTATATTTATTTTGTGATTGAATATTATTAGTTAAGTTTTATTGGGATTTGGTTTTATTCCCCACTTGGAAAAAAACTGGATTATATTATTGCAGAGATTTTGTAAGTGAAGCAAAGTGAGTTTTAAATTTTTCTGGTATGCAATTAAAGCTTTATCATCTGCGAATTCTAGAATATATGTGTTAGGATTAAATTGTTGAGAATAGATGTCATATGTGAATAGGTTGTATAGAATGGGGGATAAAGGAGAGCCTTGCGGGACACCTTGTTGCATAGAAAATGATTTAGATAATTTTTGATTGTGTTTAACTAGACTCAGTCTATTTTTTAGAAAGTTATTTATAAAGTGAATTAGATATTTTGGACAATTTAAGCTGTATAATTTGTATAATAGGCCGGTATGCCACACACTATCGAATGCTTTACTAATGTCCATGAAGAGAGCTGCCTTTTAGATTGTTTGTTAGAAGTTAGAATAAGCAGTGGATGGATTGTGGAAGAATTTTTTCTAAAGCCAAATTGATGGGGTGGAATCTTGTCGTCTAGTTCTTATTCTAGTCTTATTTTAATGATTTTTTTTCCAATGACTAGTAGTAAAGTAATTGGGCGAAAGTTGGTTGTTTTTGTCAGATCGCAATTCGGTTTAGGAATGTTTATTATAATTCCTTTTTTAAATTCTTGTGGATAGTATCGGTTTTTATTACAGTAATTATATATATCTAAAACTTTTCCATGGAATTCAGCACATTAGTTTTTAAGAGTCTTTTTGGAGATATTGTCATAACCTGGTGCTGTATTTTTGCCGGTATTTAGTACATGATAATATTCCTCTTCAGTAACTTCAGGCACTTCTCCAGGGTCGGTATGGTTGTTAAAGTACAACTCGTACCAGTCATTTATTTCTTTAAAGCTTTGATCAAAGTTTATATCTTCCGACATTTCATATATTTTCTTGTAATGTCTGGCAAAAGCATCTGCCACATCCTGGTCCTCATTGAGCACAACATTATTTTCTACAACTTCAACATTTTTATAATATTAAGTCTGGTGTTGTACTTGCGTTGTTTGTCATGATAAATGTTGGGGGAGTATCGATTTTAACAAAATTTGAGTTTTTAAGAAAATGTTGAAGTTGTTTATTTTTGTGAGTATTAGGATTGAAGTCTCCAATTATAAGGCAATATGTATAAAAGAATTACATGCAATTTTTCATTTTGATATGGTAGTGTAAAATGTAAGCATTCATTTTTTATATTATTAATTTTTGGTGGATTGGCTTTGCCAAGATTAATTTCCGCCCTCGTTTGAACCATGCTTCCCCCTCTTATGTTTTCATTAAAGATATTACGTGGTTTTTGTATTGATTTCCATTGTGATGTTAACGGTATTATATTTTTGAGTTTTGTTTCCACAAACATTGCACAATCGATATTATTTTTGTGTAAGTAAACTTTTTTAGCTAGGTAGCTGTTTATATTCGTGTAGAGTATTTTTATGTTAGTTTGATTGAATTTGAAAGCCTTCTATTGGTTCTGTTGCAATATCTTGATTATCCGAATCATCCATATTTATCATAAATATGTATAACCTATTACCAGAGAATATAGGGGTAGTGTCTATGTTGTACTGCTCTATAAATCGTTTTTTTTTTAATTTTATAATAAGTTTTTCCCTGTCAGTGTTGGCAGGTTTATTTAATTTATTTATATACGTATGTATATATATATGTATACGTATGTTTATATATATGTATGTATCGACTATCATTACATGCTCTATAAATCGTTTTTTTAATTTTATAATAAGTTTTCCCTGTCAGTGTTGGCAGGTTTATTTAATTTATTTATATATGTATCGACTATCAGGTCATGTATTGTGATGTAAGAGTGAATTTTGTTTTTTTTTGTGATTTTTGCATCTATCTGACAAGATCTTTTGTTTATTGATTTTATTTTGATATTTGGTATACCCTCTATTGGCTTTGTGGGTCTTCTTGGGCATTTTGTGGACCATGCTTCATGCTCTTCAGAGTCGCATGCTATGCATTTTTTAGGAAGCGGTGAAGTGCACTGGTTTGTATGATGGTTTTTGCATTTTGCGCAACTGATTGGTGTGCTGCAATTTTCTGTAAGATGAGTGTATAGATGGCACCGTGCACATGGCGCAGGGATGGGTGGTGGTGGAGCACTGGGGTAAACTGCGTAGTGTCTGTTTATAAAAAACATACCCTCATTTAAAAGTCGTTCAAATGATTTGCTGCACCCCGTTATGATCCTAATTAAATGTGTGGGTTTTCCTGTAGCTCTAGATATTATTCATTTACAGAAGCGAATGGAGATGTCCAATGATTTTAAATGTTGGCTGATTGTATTATCATCAATTTCGTTTTCCACGGCTGATATTACAACTGAAAATGAGGCATTGGGAATGTTTTCTGTAGCTTTTGGTGGAGGTGTAGAAACATTGAATGTTTTAATAAGATTATTTTCTGACAGAACTTTAAATGTAGATGATAGTACCTCCTTGTTGTTTTCGGATTTAAGTATAAATCCATTTTTTGTTTTTATTATAACATCCTGCGAGCTTGGAAAAATATCTTGCCATTTATCAGAAAATTGGATTCTCGTAATCTCTTCATGCGTTGTTAAATAAAAGGTATTTTTATATGTTTTGTTTTTAAAAGCGAGCATTTTTTCGGAGTAGTTGAATGACGTCTTGTTTATTGTTTTTTGGTTGGTTTGAGAAGTAGATTGTTGTGTATCGTTTTTTGCTGGATTATTTTCATGTATCGATGAATTCGTTTTTTGTTGATTTGAATTTCGTTTTTTGGCTTGTCGTAATATTGGTTTACCGTATTGAAAACCAATTAATTCAGCCTCTGGGCTTTCTATTCTTCTTTTACCTCTATCTTTTACATGCTGACTTTCGTTTCCATGATCAGACTCATTTTCTCCTTCGCTAGTCTCCATTAAATAGCTTTTTTTAATAGTTTTATTCACTAATCACTTGACACACGTGTGTATTCGGTGGAGTGGTTTTTCTGAATGCACCTTTATATTTAAGAGAAAAATTAATTTTTAGGAGTGATATACATAGTCGTAACCACAATCCACACAATGTGTGGATTCTGGTCGTAACATACGCAACAACTCCCTTACTATTCCCCAACACCACACCGCTCTTTTTAAAAAATATTTTAGTTATTATTATTTATTATTATTATTATTTGGCTGCATATCTGTATAACTCATTAAAATCACTTTAAGCCAAACACATTTAGAAGACTTACAAAAAAGCCATGCTTCAAAAGCAAGGTTAGTTTACCTTTTAATTACACAACATTTAAGGTGTGCAATTTAATTTAATTTATTTATTAACAGTGTTCTAAAATCTTTTATTTTTTCTTTTGTAGTAAAATATTATTCCTTATGTATTTTTTATGGTTAAGTGTAAGATATCAATATCAATATCAATATCAATATTGATTTTTATAATCAAACTTCGCCATTTTGATATATGTATATAAGTATGTATGTCAAATAAAGTCGTTTATTATTATTATTAAAGCCTGGCAAAGATAAATTTGCAGTGACGTATTTTTAGGTGGGGAAACTTTAAATGTGATTTGTTCTCAATATTTTACCGATTTACTTTACTTTTATGTTTTTGTATTAAATGATAGATAATTTTATTAACTATAAAATAAATTTTTTTTTGTATATTTAATTTTTAAAACTTACATTTGTCAGTTGACCCCATCCAACGGGATATAAAGTGTCATTAATATGGGGGTCATTGGGGTAAGTACTAGCCGGGGTTCTTATACCATGCCTCATAACCTAAAAATAGAATTTAAAAATGTTTAAATTAGAACTTCTCTATTTTTTTTAAATACTTACAATGTGAACCATCTGTAGCTCTCTAGGGCCATCACCTTGCGTTAAATTTGCAACAGTTAACCCCAAAATGGTAAATAACCCCACAACTCCCAGTGTTACCACCATGATGTTTATATTCTTTTTGACAAGCATCTAAAACATTTTCATTTGTAATTTTTTTAATATATATAATATTAGCATATTATTGTTATCATAACAAGAATTGAAGGTCAAAAAAAGTTTAAGAATTTACACTATTTAACAAAATTAAAAAATCGTATTTTTTTAATCGTTTTTATAAAATTATAATTAAATAAATTTGTGGTTATATTTAAAAAAAAACACATGTAAAACATTCTATAAATACAGGCTGTTTTGTTTTACTCACCTGTATGGTTAAAGTTAAGAGAAAAGTACCTAGAAAAACCAAAAAGTTTGTTAACATTTAATTAAATTAAGGGTTGATAAAATCTTGGAATAAAATTTATATTAAGTTAATATCATCGTGGTATTAAAAATAATCCGTATAAGGATTTTGCAATTTAATTATATGGAATAACCTTGTTTTAGTCTACGAGATATGTAGTAGGTATACTAAATTTTAAGGTCAACAAGATATAAATAAAAATTTAAATAAATAATATGAACTTAATTATTGCTTTTGATATAACAATTAAAATTATAAAACTAGTTGTACCTACCTTAAGATATGCTATGTTCTGCTAGCAGAATTGTAAATAAAAAAAACAAGGATTAATTTTATTTAATTCGTACCAAAACCTTTTGTATGCATAATTGGATAATATCCCATACTAGTATTAAAATTATCTATTGTATTTTAATGTAATAAAACAATTACGTTTAATATATTTAATAACATATAAGTAGGTATTAAAATAATTTTATTGTGTTTTTTTATAAAAAATAGTTCGTTTTGTCACTTTTGCTTTCTGTCTTAACATCGACCTGTATATTATGTTTGGTTACATTTTTAAATGTTTCCCCACCTTCATTTGTCACATACTTTCTATCCTCACTTTTGCACTCCGCCTTAACATCACCCGGTATAACATTTTTTGTTAAATCAACTAATTTTTCCAGGGGGCATATTTTTGTACACCCCGGTATAGTGAGTTCGTATGGGGGTAAACTCGTGTCATTTCTAAAGAATACCTGTATAATAAAAAAATATAGAAATTCATATTATTTTGTATTTATTAGTATACCTGTACCGCAAATTCATTTTCTTGATTTTTTGATAATTCCAATAATACTGCCACCCCATAACCTGGTGTTTGTGGATCAAATATTTTTAAAGCACCCAGTAGATAAGCTATAGTGTAATCGTGGGCCCCGTATAAAAAAGCCTTTCTTTTCATAGGTTTAATAGTGCCGTTCTTTTTGGCCTTCCAGTCGTTAAGAATTTTTTTCAAAAGTGGACCTTAAAAAACTATTTTAATACGTTTAAATATTTTCATCGCGACTGTGATTTTTTTAAATGCAATTACCTCCTTTTAAACGCCTTAATTTATCGTTGTAAGATGTGATGGAAAAACTTAGGTCAGATAAATATTGCATTTTATACATAAAATAGTCAGCCCAGGTAGGTAGTGTTAAATTAAATGCTTTCTGAAAAACATAGTAGGTACTAAATTAACCAAATTAAAAACAATAATATTTTACCTCTGATTGTAAAGTCGAATAAACATCTTGTACATCAGCTAAGGTTTTTATATCTTTCCCAGTCAAATCTTGCAACTTTTTTATCAATTTTTCGTTATCCCTGTATATTTTTTGTACTTCTTCCGACTTAACAACTTTTTCCAACTCCCTCTCATATTCCTCGCAGGGCACCATGTAGTGAAGTAACTAAAATAATAGTTTATGCATTATTTTAATTAAAAAAGCACTATTTATAAGGGTGGTCCTTATTTGGGTTATTTAGTTTTAAAATTGTTACGCTCCCAGAGGCTTAAACGCTTGTAAATTGATAACAATAATTCCCTGAAAATTTGAGCTTAAGGTGATTAAACAAATTTACTATTCTTTTTTTTTTGACTTGTGATATCGAAAAATTGGTTGCTGGGCACCATCAAAAAAGTTAAAAAAATTAGTACACATAGTAAACCACATATGTGGTTTACTATAAAGTTATTGGACATTTAAGAAATATTATTTATTTGCTTGCTTTCGCGAATAGTTTGATACCCGACGCGAAGCGAAGGGCATTAAATAAATATTCAAGGGAGGAAACGCATTTTCCTCTGAGGTATGTATATAGTTTTTTCTATTACCTTTTAACGGTTTTAAGACATTTTAAGCGTTCCGGTTACTTTTACTAACCCGGTAGGGGGCTATAAAATTATGACAAAATATTAAGTAGGTGCGGCGCGCCGTCGTTATGTTGCTATGGTATTTTTGGTAATACAAACATAACAGTTTTTATAAGCTGTCAGAATGTTTAACATAAATTTGAAATTCTTCCTACGTTTTGAAAATGAGTTCTAGCGAAGAAGACCATCCGCAAGATCTTGCTAAAGAGGCAAGAATAGTTGCAATTAATTTCCTTCCTTAAAAATCGAAAGAGCAATATGAAAATGAATATAGTTTGTTAAAAGAATGGTTGGACAAGCGCGGAGTAAATCTTTTTCCTACAAAATCAAATAGGGTTAGACAAGGTACAAAAACTCTTGCTAATGTAAAATTGTTAAAAAAAAATTTTTCCTCCCGGGGAGGAAAAGAGGGATTTTCCTCCCTTGCTCGGGGGTGGAAAATCAAGTTTTCTAGTAAGGTAGTAGAAAAAATAATTTTAATAAAATTTATATATGCCGTTGTTTTAAAGATTTTAGTTTTTTTCTTATAAATATATAAAAAGAATACTTAGTTTGTTTGTTTAAACTTTATTTACGTTTACTTAAATATAAGAATATTTGAATTTTTAATAATAGTTTTATAAAAACTTGCAATCAAGTAGGTATGGTAATTGGACATTTTATATAAAAAATTTGATAAATTTAATAACATAAATTGTTAAATATTTTTTAAATATAAATTGCTGTTTTAGGTATTTTTTTTTATTTCGTTTTTGTAAATATCATATAATTCATAAATTTCTTTCTCAGATTCCTCGCGAAAAAGCAGCTACTAATAATTCTCGTCAACAGCAATTTGTGTTTTTGATTCAGGGGACAATTTTACATAAGAATTGGCTGATAAATCCCGTGGATATAAATAGAGTATGACATTGGACATATGTCCAATAATGGAAATTTACATTTTTTACCAACCAGTAATTGGACACTGGCCATTTTACTGTTTGTTTTCAGAATTAAAATTAAAACTCATTAAAGTGACAATGTTTAAACTATGAATTTTATACCACACACTGATCTGTACACTTTTAGAAATATTTTTTAATTTAAACACACCCCTGCTCTTAACAAAAAAATAAAAATCTTACCACCATGCGAACTTTTTTGTCCTATATTGGACCCAAAATAAACTAGTTCTATATTATTACCGAGTTGTATACAGCGTCATCTAATGATTTGACTTTATGGTAACTATTTATGGAATTCTTTTTACAATATTAATAATTGTCCAGTAACTATAAAGTGTCCGATAACTGTCTACTTTACCCACATAGTACATGTATACTAGCCCTGATAGCAAAATTTGATTCTAAGAATCTTCTAAGAAGATATGACCCGGAATAATGGAATATTCTTAGAACCTTCCCTTGTTGCTAAGAATGTTCTTAGGGACTTTTAAAACATTCAATAGATACCCTTTTAATGATTCAATTATATTCTTAGAAGCTTCTTAAAACCTTCCTAAAATGCATTCTAGAACATTTTAAGAATACGTTTTTGGAATGTTCTTAAAAGGTTTCTTATGGAGCTTTTAGGAAGCTTTTGAGAATATTTCCAAATATGTCAGATACCCACGTTCTAATAAGTAACATTCTTCAGGAGGCGACAAATACGCCTTACTGTCATAATATGACAGTGAAATGTATTTGTCGTCCCCTTAAAAAATTTTCGACATATTAATACAGTGTGTCGCACTTAAGATGAAGACACCCCCATATTTTCGCTATTTGAAGGAATAAAGGTTGGAATTTTTTCAAATTCATACATGTTGATGGGTCACATTTTTTAAGCTACTCAACTGAAATCTGAACTTTAAACTTGGCCTACTACAAATTCACAAACAGGGCCAGTTCTCGATATTTTGCTTCGCGTTAGAGATATCGAAAAAAGTTATTAGAAAAAGTTGTTCAGAATATTATTCTAACCCCATATACCAATTTTTATAACAAAATTTGCATTTTTAATTTTTTTTTATTTTAGTCCACACAAAATTATTACAAGTTCATTTTTTAGTTTGATAATAAGGGAGCCATGGAAAGTAATAATTTGATACTAACTAGTGTTTATGACCGTTAAATAAATAATTAAAACAATTTTTGGAAATTACAAATCAATTATAATTTATTAAATTAAGGAAATGATATAAAACAATAATAAAACTAATAAAAATAAATAAATTAGAAATGCGAATTTTGCTATGAAAATCGGTATATGGGGTTAGAATAATATTCTGAACAACTTTTTCTAATAATTTTTTTCGATATTTATAACGCGAAGCAAAATATCGACATCTAGCCCCGTTTGTGAATTCGTAGTAGGCCAAGTTTAAAGTTCAGATTTCAGTTGAGTATCTTAAAAAATGTGACCCACCAACATGTATGAATGTGAAAAAATTCAAATCTCTATTCCTTGAAATAGCGAAAATATGGGGGTGTCTTCATCTTAAATGCGACACACTGTATATATTTATTTAAAAATATTAAATAAACAATTTGACCTCTAAACCATAAGTTGTATGACATTATTTCATAAAAAGTAAAATTGGAAAATTTTGTGGGATAAGTCAGATTAGATTGAAGTTGAAGATTAGTTAGGATTATTATACATAAAAATGTTAACTCAGAAATAAAAAATCGGTATACAAATTAATAAATATTTATTTTTAACATAAAATAAAATATAAAAAAACAAAATAATTCCTTATAAAATAATTCTTCATAAAAGAAAAAACCAAATAGTTCTTCATAAAAAAAACATTTTTCATTGTATTTAAGTTGGATAGAAGATTTTATGTAAAAGCCGGATAATTTAGATACCTATAGTAAAAGTATTTTTGTTATCGAATATTGTTTTAATTTGACAAATAACTATAAAAAAATATTTTGGGTTGTGTTTTTTACTTAGTATTTAATACTAAGTATAGGTACCTTTATACGTAGATTATGGTATATTTTACCATTATATAGGTACCTAACTGAACTGAATATGCTTAACAGAATGTTCCAGGAATATTCCAAAATTAACTTTCTATAGCAATTACTTTCTCAACATTCTAAGCATATGTTTAGAGTGGATTAATTTTTACCACTAAACTTTGCACCTTCTAAAAACCTGCCTATAGGCCAGTGAGAATATTCTTAGGATTGTGCTATATTTCTTTAAAGCATGTTCTTTAGAAGAAATATAGCATGATCCTAAGAATATTCTCACTGGAAGGTTTAAAAAACATTCTTAGAACATGACTAGAAGAAATATAGCATGATCCCAAGAATATTCTTACTGGAAGGTTTAAAAAACATTCTTAGAACATTACTAGAATAAATATAGCATGATCCTAAGAATATTCCCACTGGAAGGTTTAAAAAACATTCTTAGAATAAACTGTGCTATCAGGGTGAGGACTACATTTCCTGAAAGTTTCAGATTTTTATTTTTTCTCCAACATAATGATTTCTAAGGGCAAAATTTGCTAATTTTGAAAATTATCAAGTTTCAAATTTTTTTTTAATAAAGAAAATGATAGTCTAGAAACTTTAAATAATAGTTACGTTTTCTATTGTATAAGTACTTGATACCTGAAAAAAATCAACTTTCTAGATTTAGCAGAATAGGCACAGGAGCCAAACAAAAATCACAAAAATTGGCAAATTATTACAAATCTTTAGTGGTTTACCATTCTTTTATGAGATGAACTTATTGGATAATAATAATTAATATTGAAAACATACTTACTAGGCAGTAAAATAAAATTACAATCATTTCAATAATTGTCACAGAAAAAAAGTTTTAGCCTCTTATAAGAGAGTAAGAAAATGACACGATTTCAGGTTTCTAAAGGGTGCCGATTAAAAATAAAGCAACTAAACATTAAAACGGCAACGGTTTTTCATATATGATACCTAAATGATCATCCTCAAATTTTTTCATTAAAATAAAAAATCATGCAGCGCACTTTTAAATTCATTTTTGGTGTTTTCATTTGGATTGACTCAAAACAAAAAGTGAGGTTAGGCAACCAAGAAAACGCACGATTCTTTTTTTACGATTTAAATTATCTTAAAATTTAAATTTACTTTAAGTTTTCAGTGAAATTAAATGTTAAACACAGCTTAAACATTCCAAACTACCTATTTTTTAAAAATAAAAATCCAAAAGCAATAATAATTATTGTATATTTAATGTAATCTTTATCTAATAAATAAATGAGTTTCTAAAAAAGGGAGGTTAGGCCGCTTTGATGTTGAATTAAATTGACGTATATAAAGTGCTTTGAAGATAAAATGTTGTATGCCATTCGGCCAAGAAGTGCCTTTTTGTGCTTCGCTTAATTGTAGGCATCCGCTACGCGTCGGCCTTCAAACCTTGAGCTTAGCACAAAAAGCCTTACTTCTTAACCTGTCATTATAATGACATAAATAACTATTTTCTATAAAAAAATAATATCAATCACTGCAACAGTTTATACGCAATACAAATTTCCTTGTTATATGAAAAATG